TAAAGTTCAATCAAATCCAGATTCCACCCCCTTCGAACTGCTATCATTTGGAATTCCATGAATAATATGTCTTGTGCTTTATTCACAGGCGAGACAACGAAGCGGACCAGACTGGAACTGGACGGATAGAAGAATTCATCGATTCCTTAGTGAAGGAGGGGGAAATCGATAGAATTTTAAAAGAGGCGGACGCAGTGGCGAGGAAATTGCCAAAAACTTTTGGTAGGGGAGGGAATATTGGGATGGCAAGTCTGAAGAGCCTCAATGTGTCAATAAGGGAGGTGTTTGAAGCACGTATTCAAGCACCAGACACCCTCGCTGACGAAGTTGACGATATTGTCATCAAACGTTTCATGACACATGACAGAACACATCCAGATAATCTGTATAGCTTAGCTAATGATTCAAACGACACTGGCTTGAACCTCAGATTATATGGAAATAAGAGCTCTTATATTAGTGGTTCTATCATTAAATTAATGAGTGAAAATAATATAACTTTATAGATCTATTATAAAACACGTGTAGTATTAAAGTGCGGCATCTAAATCGTTTATTACGTGAACGTTTCTCAATTTGCTTATTTCCTATGTATTTTCTATAAAAAAAGCCTGACAAAGCAACATTCTAACACAAATGCAACAAAACATCTTTGTACTGTTGAAAATACCGCTACAAACAGGCTCATTTTATCATAGCACATCAGTTTCTAACTGTTTAAAAAAGGTTTTGAGTGTTAACCCAAAACGAGAATTGGGATCAAAACCCATACGAAAGTCTAGTTTTTGGCGCTTTTTGCCATTATTGCTCATTATGGAAAACAATTCCTCTTAACGTACTCCTTATGTCCACTCAGATTCGAGTAATTTTGTAGAGTGTATTATAAGGTTTTTTTGAAATTAAAATGTCCAAGCCTTGTACGTTATGGAAGTAAGTCTATCCATGGTAAAACGGTACCATTAATTCGCGACAGTATTTTTGAGTATTACTTTTTCTTTATTCATCAATTTAAATAAAGATACCATTGTGTTACAATTAATWATTTTTACAGAACATGGCTCGGTTTCTACAAAGTAAAAATATTCATTGAGTGAAAGCTATTCGGTTTTTAACTCTTACATTATGCATAATTATTGAAGTGAATCATATATCTTAACGAGCTGTATGAAGCGGCCGGACAAAGAAGAAATACTGCCAGTTTAGAAATTGCAAAAACATTTGAGAATTAAAGCGATAATTATTTCAAGCGTGAGTGGAACAGCTTAATTATCCTCGCAGKATCCTTCAAAACATTTATGTTGCTAGCTGGTATATATACTTTTTATTCTTGGAAACAAGTACCACTAGAACAGCAACTACGCTTCGCTCATGTGAAACTGCGATATACACTCTATTGAATGTTTACTTATTTATGTAGCCGCAATCAAAACTGCGTGA